TTTTTTTTCCAAATCGTACAGATAGAATTGGAAAGACTGACGTTAAATGGGTTTTTTACCATATCTATTCCCCTCAAAAACTTATTTCCCAAAATCAGTTACTTTAAACTTATTTCTCAAACTCAATTTTTTTTTTAGTCAGACTAGTCAACCAGGCTCTCTTCACATGCCAACAAGAAATATCAGGCCAAAGAGAGAAAACTTCATTTCAAAAGACATTTTTAAACTTGAGAAAAATTTTCAACTTTGGATATTTTCACTCACAAAATGTCATTTGTACTGATGACTTTAAAGATGTCATTTACATTGCTATTTTTAAACGGTTTTCTATCTGAGCTAAGACCTAGAAAACTTTGTTAACCTTGACAAACTTGAACAAACATTGAATTTACTAAGGCATAAAATGTCACTTGTAATGACGCCTTTAAAGTCTTCATTCTAAATGACAATTTATACGAATAAAATCACAAGCGACTTTTTGAAATTGTAAAATTCCTAGGTCACAAATTATAAAAAATCTATCATCTCTTAGGGGTTGTTTGGTATATGGGTTTGGGAGGGGTTTGAATTGTGGGTTGGGGAATAAACCCCTTAAACCCATGTTTGGTAACCCATGTTTAGTCCAGGGTTTGGAAACCCAGCCCGTTGGATGACATGATCATGAAACCCATGAACTTGGGTTTCATGAAATCCATGGGGGTGGGTGGGTTTCTTAGGTGGATTATTCAAAAGACATTTATACCCCTCATATATTCTCATATGGGTTTGAATTAAATTTGTTAAGGGACAAAATAATTATTTATATACAAATATATTATCATAATAGTCATATATTCCTGCGCATACTAAACATGGGTATGGACAATATTAAATATTGAATCCTATCTTTGAATCTCATATTTTGGTCAAATCTCGGTTTAAATAAGTCAATCCAAACTCCGCCTAAGAAACATACCAAATAGCCCTTAGATCACCCTCTTCATTCCTCTGACCACTCACCATCTTCTCTGATGACGAAGACCACTCTGGCAAAGCAGTTTAACTCTGACAACATAGCTTTTCTTTGGTGGTGCTCTCTCCAGAAGTTACAATTTTTAAGTCTCCCAACTGTAGATCACCGCAGGGCTTCCCAAATCCCATAAGCCTTAGCTTTTTCAACTCTCTCTCTTTGTCTTTAAGTGTAAACTAACACCGTGGGGTTATTATTTAAAATGGCTATTGAAAGATTTCATTTACAATGATGTTTTTAAAATCGGCTTTCCAAATGACGTTTTATGCGTAAATATATCCATATATCCAAACTTGAACAATTTTCCCAAGTTTAAAAATATTATTTAAAATGATGTTTTTAACCATGAAGACGAAATTTGAAATAACGTTTTTACAAAGAGATTAAGTTTGAAAAATAAGTTTAAAAGTGATTAATTTTACGAAATAACTTTTTTGAGAGGAATGAGTATGGTAAAAAGCTCATTGTTAAACCATCCGCAAAATCAGACAATGGTTCAACAAGTTTTGGATGGCAAAATTCTTCAAAAATTGGCTATTATATGCCTAGCAAGAAAGAAACCAACTTAGTTTATTTTTCATAAAACAAAACGAAGGACTGGGTATTACAGATATACTATAGGCTTTAAACTATATGAAAAAGAAAATTCTCCATCTTATTGAAGCAATACATGGCCGATTATTCTATAGAAGAGCACCCAGTTGGAGTTCCTTAGACATTAGTAAAAAAAGGGCCACTCGACCCATGTGGCTTAGCTGCTATATTAAATATAAAAAAAGAGATAGATGATAATAATATACAAATTAAGTAAACTTTATCGAGAACGTTTAACCACACACTATTGCATTCAAAGATAGAAGCAAAATCATAATCAAAAGGAAGCACACTAACACCAACACAAGCTTTCTTCCCTATTCGGCTTTTGCAGCGGGAGATTGCCAAGCAATTAAGTATAACATTTGCAATGGCAAAGCTTTATCTACAGCCTCAAACCCCAACAAAAGGAAAAAAAAAAAAAACGTTGAACTTCTCCATAACAAATTCCATTGTTATGTTCTTTACATGGCCCTCACAGCAGCTTGGAACCTTGGTTCTTTAGGTAGGAACTTCTGCTCAGCATAAACAGACATGTAGTCCCCAAACACAAACTTGGGATAATTCTGATCCACCTCTTGGTTCACTTTTTCCATCAATTCTGGTGCAGGAGCCATAGTGGCCTTCATTGATGGATTATAGAATGAAGCAATTGATCTCCTATTCCCATCCAAGGTTGCCAAAACCCTGTGCCAAACGCTCTTGTATCACCCGTTGCTCAACACCTCAATTTGATCCCCAATGTTGATGACAATGGCGTTGCTTAGAGGTTGGACATCGATCCATTGCCCGCCTTTGAGGATTTGAAGGCCACTCACCTCATCATCTTGGAAGAGTAAGATGACACCTCCAGCATCAGTGTGAGCTCGAAGACCATTTAGCCTCTCGGGATGTGGGCAGGGCGGGTAGTGGCTCACCTTAGTGCCGAAAAAGGCATCAGCTTCTTCAACATTGAAAGCTTTCTTGATGTATCCTATTGGCAAGCCCAAGTTTTCATCCATGGCTTAAATGACCTTCTTTCCCAGCTTCTTCAACTCAGCTCGGTATTCTGCCATACTTTCCCTATTATTCAATCAATTTACAAGTCAGATGATACATTAATCTAGGTTTTAATGCTATATTTTTCTTGAGCCACTACAAGAAAAAGGTTTTTTTACATCGACAATTTGCCGACTCAAAAGATCACATTGCCGTCGCAAATACCGGGGTGGCAAACAATAGGCGATGCAAAAGGTTTTGCATCGTCAATTAACCGTCACAAAAGCTTTTGCATCAGCAAAATCCGATGCAAATGTGCTGTCGCAAAAAAATCTTAAATCTAACATTTTTTTGCTTGCGTCAACAATTTTCCGTCGCAAAAAAACCCATTTGCGATGGTTTAAATTCGTCGCAAAAAGTATTATTAGTCACAGTTGGAGACCGTCGCAACAAACCCCATTTGCAACGGTTAGAATCTGTCACAAAAGATACTATTAACTACAGTAAGTAACCGTTGCAGTAAACCCATTTACAACGGTTTAATCCGTCGCAAAAGATATTATTAGCCACAATATGAGACAGTCTCAACAAACCCGTTTACAATGGTTTTTAACCGTTGCAAAAGATATTATTTGTCACGGCAGAAGGTCGACGCCAAAAATAAATTATATTACTCTTTTGACGCTACTTGCGTCAGCAACTTGCTTTCATAAATAATTTTTTTTTAAAAACCTAATTCTCTCTTTCATATTTTGCTCTACACCTGTTTACATATTTAATACATTACCCATAACATCATTTGATTAAAATAATAAGACATATCTCTCAAAACAAAAACATCTAAATTTAAAATTAAAAATATGTTCAACATAAGTAAATAGCATCCGAAATTTTAAAAACAAAATATTCCAAACTACGTAATGAAAATGTCAATGCATAATAAAAAATTTAGTCTCTCAATGCACCATTTGCTCTGTAATCATGCACAATGTGTACTCTCTACCCATGCATCATCTATTTTCTACGCTATCTACTCATTTGATAGCACCTGCAAAAGATACGATTTGTGTTATTATTGTCAATAATATGTTTGGTTGCTAATTATATATATAGTAATTAAGATAAAACATACATCACTAGACGACCAAACAATACTTTTTCCCACTGTTTGCCCAACAATAATTACACCAGGAAAATATCTTATCAAATAAATATTAGACACTATTGCTTCCTCAACATATACGTTCGAAAACTCAGGACCCAATGGTACTCCCTCTACTTCTTTCGAAGGGTCCACACTAAGAACGATCCTCTTCGCCACTACTTGCCTTGGTAAATGGGAATTAAGCAGGTCTACTTTTGTATGAATCTACAATCACAAGTGTTAACAATTTTTAGAAGCCAAAACAAATACAATTGAAAAAAAAATTACAATTGTAAATCTATGTACCACACATTGTCATATACTATGTTTACCATACACATGCACTTACCTCAGTATTGTTCAGACCTAGTGCATGCTTTCTCTTTTCTGCCTTAACAGCACGTCTACAAAAAAAAAACCAGGCAACACTACATTAGTCAGTATAAATAGCAATGTCAAAACTACATTAATTAGTATTTTAGTTTTTAGTCGAATTTTCGACAAATCTCTTCAAAAGGTCGTGGGAATGGTGAGGGTGTTGGTAACTCGTGTTGCACCTGTGTAGATGGTGTACGTCCATCTTCGTGTGGCTCTCTGAGTGGCCTATGAGTACTAGATGCATCTGGGACCTACAACATTTTTAGGACATATTAAACTACACATTTTAAAAATTGATAAGTTATTGAAACAATAATATCAAATGTTTATTGTACTCCCCCGGTCCAACCCCAGAGCATCCACCCTCCTCTTGGCAAGAACGTATCAAATCAAGTTGTTAACGCATATAATTAATCTCCTCTCGAAACTCTTCTCTTAACTCCTCTCGTAACTCTTGACACATCCTCTTTCTTTCCAAGTCTGCAGATACTTGAGATGAAGTGGAGGCTTGGCCGTATACATCACTCCACACGACTCCTGAATCATAAGTCCGCACATAGCCATGACCATCCTATCTAACTACGTCATGGAATACCTTTTCCCGAATATCTGGAGTCTGCTCCATCTCTAGCACCTCAGAGAGTCGCTGTGTGAATTTCTCCTATCATGTTTCAAGATGAGTATATCCAGTAAAGTTACAATATAATCGTACTAGAAATTTGTACATACCATATAACCTGCCGTCTCCTCGTCACATGGAGCGCCATTCTTTGTACGTGTTTTGATGAACACACTCATTTTGTCTATATTCTTTCCATTATTTTCCATCTGAATTCTCAGTAAAAAATACAAATTTTAATTGTAAGTTGAAATAGAAAAAACAACATGTCAATAATTATTATTTTTCATAACAACTTACATCCATCCGAACATTAGCAAAGGGTGTTCGCCCTGTCCTATGTGTCGGGCCTTGCAATGCACGATTCTTAGAATTTTGCTTCGATATTACCTATAACATTAATAATATAAAAATAAATTTTACTGTTTTAATATATGTTAATAATAAAAACTAATATGTGCACATATCTTTGCTTCATTAGTACCCCAATATTGCACAAGTGTACGCCATTGCTCAGGTACCACCCGATCAGGAACTCTTGACAAACACTCTCCGTCTGTAGTAGCACTATCATAATACTGCGCCTTTAACTTAGCTTTCCAACCCTTCCAAATCTTTTCACAAATCTTCAAGCAGACCTTTCTAAACTCTGGAGGTGCATTAGTGTTATCCTAGCATCACGATTCCACCCCAGGTTGGAACAAAATACAATGTCAAGTAATTTGTTTATAAGAGAGAAATTCTAAATAAAATATATGATACCAATTTGCAATATGAAAGTCATTGCACGAAGCACATAACAGTTGATAATTTGGACAGTTACATACAACTAAAAAAATTCATTTAGCGATGAAAGCACAATTCATTATACCTGTACCTCTTTCCAAAGCCAATCTTTTGTATCTTTAGATATATATCTCCAAGAAAGATAGTTGAGTGGGAATCGATGGCCATTGAAGTTCACCAACGTGAATCTATATTCATCTTCTTTCTTTCCCAAATTGTTATCAACCCAATAACACTTAAATAAAACATATTTCATGTCATTAGCATACCGAACTTCAACAATGTCTGTTAATACTCCATAGTAAGATACGGCCCCTACACGAGGGTTTTTGTCTTTCTGACTGGCATAACTTACAATACTCGCCTTTAAAGTAACACCAATATTTTGTGTACTTCGGCGTTTATCCACACTCTTGACACGAAAACGAAATCCGTTGATAATATATAAATTAAATCTCCCTGCTGTGTGATGAGGACCTTCAACTAATGTATTGATTTCATCTGCAAACTGGACGCTATCTGACCTTTGCAAAGTTTGAACCTATTTTTAATATATTAACAAAGCATTAACAATAAAGTTATACATATGCACGTTAACAAATGTCGTGTATAATTTATCATATGTGATACATACATACTCGGTAAACCATGTGTGAAATGTTTCATTGTGTACACGACAGATGTTATGGTCCTCTGCATGTGGCATTTGGCGATAAAAGACTCTAAGGTGGTCCCTATATGTATACAAAGTAGTACTAAAATCGCATATAAATTATAAATAACAGAATTCACCAAAAAATGACATTTAACTTACTCCAGAAATGGTGAAATTGAGTCAGTATTGAATAACACATATATATGTGCCTGTGCCCATGCCCATGTCACGTCATCAAGGTGAAAAGGAATAACTTCCCCCAAAGTACGACCTAAGTTCTCACCACCATTATAGTTCTGTAACGGTCGATTAGACTTGCTTTCCACGTCACTGAGATACATAGCACAAAAATTTATGCACTCCTCCATCAAGTAACTTTTAGCTATTGAGCCTTCAGGATGAACTCAATTGCGCATATTGTTTTAGAGTAAGAAGATACCTATAAATATATAAGTGCATAAAAATATCCATCCATGCAAAATGGATAATGTATTTTGATAATATTCATATTACACCTTTTGCACAAATAAGAAACGCATACCTCTCAATGGGGTACATCCATCTAAACTGCACTGGTCTAGCTATCAATGCTTCCTCAGCTCGATGTACAGGCAAGTGCTCCATTATGTCAAAAAATTCCGATGGAAAAATTTTCTCTAGATGACAAAGTGATACCACAATCCGATCTTCAATATATTCTAAGCCAGCTACAGTATTCACCTTCAAACACAATTGTCTAAAGAAATTACTCATTTCGATCAACGGTTCAACCACATTCTTAGGCATGGATTTTCGAATTGCTAGAGGCAGTAGTTGTTGCATCAAAATATGACTATCATGACTCTTAAGATGCCAAATACTACGCTCTTTCATGTGCACGCATCGCAAAATATTAGACGCATATCCGTCAGGCACCTTGACTCTTTTCATCACTTTACAAAATATCTGTCTGTCATCCTTGCTAAAAGTAAATTTTGCTGGAGGTAAGTATTCTTTACTAGATCCTCTAGTTTGAGGATGCAATGGTTTTCTAATGTTCATTTCTTGTAAGTCACGCCGAGCATTCAGATTGTCCTTGGTTTTCCCAATGACCCCCAATAATGTCCATAATATATTATAGCAAAAATTCTTCTCTATATGCATTACATCAAGATTGTGTCTAATTAGATTATGCTCCCAGTACGACAATCAAAGAAGATACTCTTTTTCTTCCAATTATGTTTTTTCGCCCCATTTTTTACCCTATCTACCTCTCTCCTCTTCCTTTCTTTAAGGTCATCATACTTATATTCTGTCAAGATATCTTCCGATTGTATTTGTAACAATATCTGAGTTCCAGATAACGTAGTAGGCTTGCGACCATGTTCTCGTCTCCCATCAAAAGACACTTTATCCTTTCGAAATTTGTGTTGACTAGGTAAAAATTGGAGATGACCCATGTAACAAAACTTTCTACCATGAGTCAACCAATTAGATCGAGTATTCGTGTTGCAAATTGGACAAGCATATTCACCTTTTGTACTCCACCCCGACAAGTTAGCATATGCAGAAAAATCATTAATTGTCCACAGTAATGCCGCGTGTAGCTGAAACATGTTACCGCTTGAGGCATCAAATGTTTGCACACCGTCCTCTCACAACTCTTTTAATTCCTCAATCAGAGGTTGCAAGAAGACATCAATCTTATTACCAGACCCTTTTGGTCCATCAATAAGCACAGAAAGAATAACAAATGGTTGTTTCATGCACATCCATAACGGTAAGTTATAGGGCATCAATACAACAGGCCAAGTCCTATGAACTATATTCATCGACCTGAAAGGATTGAATCCATCGGATGCCAGCCCAAGCCTAACATTACGACTATCACTAGCAAAAATTGGGTATCGTTTGTCAAAAGTCTTCCATGCAAGAGAGTCAGTCGGATGCCTGAGTACACCGTCATCAGTCCATCCTTCTAAATGCCATCTCATATGCGAAGCAGTTTTTGACGACATGATACCTCACTTGTTTTGCAGCTATTGGTTTACTACCATTAAAAGCATCATTTGTATCACCTTCATGTTGTTTCCATCCAGAAGTATTGCATATCAAACATTTATCCATCTTTTCCTCCTTATTTCTAAACAACATACAACTATTTGGACATGCATCCCATGTCTTATACGTAAACCCCAAGTCGTCGATTACCTTTTTGGCTTCATTGTATGAAATTGCCAATTTCACCCCAATGGGAAAAGCCTCATTTAGTAACACAATCAACATCGTAATAGACTTATCCGTCCATCCACAGAGCGCCTTTATATGCAATAATCTCACAAGAAATGACAATGTCGTGAATTTCTCACACCCCGGATATAATTCTCTTTCCGCATCTAGTAGAAGTTTGAACAACTTCGCGGTGGGTTCATTTGTGCCACGTCGGGGATCATTTGTAGGTAGTTCAAGATTTTCAACATTGACATCTACATTTTGAGCTCCAATAGCATCGTGTATCATTCCAATTATATCATCCCCAATATTTGAATCATCTAAGGTTTTATTTTCTTGGTTACCATGCCTCGAAACATAGGCTTCTCCATGTTTAGTCCAATTCTTGTACTTCCTTGAAAAACCATTTATAATAAGATGTTCTCGCACAACCTCTCGTTTAACAAAATAACGATTTAAACATAACCTGCACGGACAATAAATCATTGCATCTTCCGCTTGATTAGTGTATGCAAACTTGAGAAATTCCTCAACCCCTCTAAAGTATGCACTTGAAAGCCTTTCTATTAAATCAATCCAACTCTTATCCATATTTCTATTATCCTCAACTGTTTCATACATCCACTTGAAGATAACTTAGTTATCACGAAATCTAAATTTAATGAGCATCCCATAACTAACATATTCATGTTAAGAGTGTAGTAGAATTAAAGATACTAAAATGCACATGTGACTAAAAAATGGATGAATTTATCAATAACTTAAAACAAACCCAATTGAAAATGAACCCATATGTTGTTTGCTTTAACCCCCATAAATAAAAAAGTGAACTTTCATATTATACCTAAAAAATAAACTTAAACTGCAAAATTTTAGTTTGAGTTATTTTAGAGGTGTCAAACGTGTCGTGTCGTATCAGTTTCGTATCGTGTCACTTTTGATCGTGTTATTTTTGTGTCGTATCATTTTCAGTATGTGTCGGATTCGTGTCAATATTTGTGTTAATAAAAAATTATTTAATTTGACAACAACTAATATAAAAAATTATAAAATTCTTATTTTCTATCTAAAATACTCATTAAATAATTATTTTTTTATCTACAATACCCATTAATCGTATTATTCGTGTTGAACCTTAATTTGACCCATTTAGTTCTCTTGTCAACGAATCGTGTTATTTTCGGGTTCGTGTCGGGTTTGGTTCGAGTCGGGTTTGTGTTCGAATCAAAAATTAACACCCCTAAGTTATTTACAATTGATTTATAGTAGAAATAGTAAAATAACATGAAATTGTTAATGAAACAATAAACCTTTCTCATGTTGTGATTTTATATATATAAAAAAAAAATATGATTGAGAAAAATGAATTTTTTAAAAATTATAATGAGTTTAGTACAATATTGATTTTCTTTGGGATAGTAGGGGCTTTTTTTAACTTTAGATGAATTAAAAGGTTAAACCGAAGAATGAGCAAGGTAAAAGCAGATGGGAAAACCAAACTCCACCACAGATCCCAAAGAGATTGAAGCTGTAAGAGAAGATATATCCGATTAGATTGATAATGATTTCCCAAATCTATGATTAATTTGAGAGTGGAAATAAGTTTCATGAAATATCATTTCCCCATTGCAACTAATAAATAAACTACTTATTCTTGAATTAGTAACCAATGAGCAAGTACACAAAACACACACACACACACACAGAGGCTTTCACTTCATCTACAACATGTTGTTATTTCCACCATAAACAGCAACAATCCTGCATCTTTGTAGGAACATGCAATGATGCAAAGTAAATGGTAAAACCCATTATCACCAATTACAATAACATCAGTAATTAGAATTGTCAATCACCATTTTGGTAAATAAATACCCAACAAGTAGCTAGGAAGTAAGAAATTACTTTCCCTCTTCCTAGCTTTTTCATCCACGCCACAGGAAAAAAAAAACAAAGGATATAAACACTGGTCTGGACTTTGGACAATTATGAAAATGGAGAGAAATAAAAAGGTCTACATAATTCTATCGTATATTCATATTTAAGTTTTCTTGTTTCTTTAGTTGAAAACTTAAAATCTACGTCTTCATATTACCCTCATGGCAATGAACTGTATTTCGAGTGGTAGGGCCCGCGAAATCGTTATCGCCCAAATTGAATTGACGAATAAGTCAATTAAATATGAGAACAATTATATAACCCATATAGAGCAATCAATAAAAAGGATGAAGAAAACATACCTGAAAGATGATGAGGAACGATTGGAATCTGCTACAATACAGAAAGTATGATGACCACAATGGAAGATTGATGCACGGAGAAGAGATAAAAAGGTGCTGTCGTGACTCTAGTAAACGGTAGTGGCAGCAACAATTTGGAGACCTAGGATTTACTCAATTTTTAGCAAAGAGAGACAGGAAGAGAGGAGAGTGGATAAGATAAAGAAAAAAATGATAATCATAGTGTGGGAGACGTGTGAATACAGGGGAGAAATCGTGAGGAGTGCAGCTCCTCTGCTGTTACAAGAAAACAACACCGTGTTGTGTTAGTCAAGAACGACACCGTTTTATTAAGTTTACACAATAAAATGTTTTTCTCAAAACAGACCCACCAAATGACGTCGTTTTAATGGGTTTACACTTTACATAGTGATTCCACAAAACAGAGCTCCAAACATTAGACAGAAAAACATCACTTGCAAAACCCCTTATCTGTACAGAAGCATCTTCACTATTTTCAAGCCCCAACGTTGAATCAATTGATAGAAACATCTTAACTCACAAAAATTTCTGCAATGGCTTGCTCCGCTTCTTGAATCGCAATCCTATGTGCTCATTCAAGACTCTTTGACGTTAATGGCAGCTCTCAACTGAAGTCTTGCCTATGAATGACTCTTTCGGCAATAACTATGAATCCCTTACTCAAACCCATTTGATGATTTTCCTAGTCTTGCCTATTAATGACTCTTTCGACAATACCTATGAATCCATTACTCAAACCCATTTGATGATTTTCCTAGAAATTGTTACAGTTGAGAGCTGTTATTAACGTTAACGGTGCTCATTCATAGGCAACAAGAGCAGGTGGTGCGTTGAGGACGAAGAAGCCGGTCTCATACTCGTCATCGTTGTTTTTCAAAATCCCCAGCTCCTGCACACACGTACTGAGACCCAAAAGCTTTCAATAGAGGTTTGAGAGAGAGAGAATAGGTAGGGGACGGTTTCGAGATGTGAATAATGAAGAAGGTGAACAGATATTTGGATATGTATTTGGGTGAGATTGAGAGGGTTTTACTTTTGTGGAGACGGAGAATTCCACCTTTTTATTTTTAGTGAAAAAATTTTATCCAAAAAAATTATTTAAACAGTGGCGTTTCGAACTAACAATAGACCCACAAAATAATATTATTTTAAAAATAGACTCACAAAACGACGCCGTACTATATATACTAATTATCACAACAAATTCTCAATGTAACACAAGCAAAAATATTTGCGACAGGAAAAACTCCTGTTGCAAAAAATAAAATTTTATTTATTTGTTGCCATGAAAATGGTTTACCATTGCAAATAAATCATTTTAAACAATGGAATTAGTAACAGTCGCAAAAAAAATAATTTTGCCACGGTAAATGTACCGTCGCAAAAAAAGTGATGCAAAAATCCAAAATTTTTGTAGTGAGCATTGTCTCAAGTTATAAAGTAGTTGAAGGTAATGGCTGTTACTTAACATATATCTTACATTTCTACAAGTTGTTCAGATTATGCAATTTGATATTGAAAGGAAGTCTGACAATAATCCATACAGAATGAAAGATTTCTATAATTGCAGACAAATTTTGTTATAAAAGACGAGTGAAACAAAAAATACAGGAATTGAGACTTATATGCATAGGCCTTGGCACAACTTAATTAAGTTAATTCATTATAATCTGGGTGTCACAACTTTAATCCATACAAGGGTGGTACCATCTTAGGGCCTTGGTTGGCAATGCCCTCTAATGTTTTCAATAAACCTTTTCTTTTGTTGTTTGAAATAATTTTAAGTTGATTTAATACATTCTATTTCCTGCTCATTTATATTGTCTAGTCTATGAGGATTCATTAGAAACAGGGAGATAGCATCAGGGAGATAGCATTAACGTTAATGGTGAAGTTTACTTTTCTATACTGATGGAAGTGATTAGAACTAGTACTGAATATACATACTTGAATCCTGGTGTCTTTGATGACCAATCGTTATCATCTGAGAGAAGGAACACGTCTTCCCAGTCCAAATTCTCCAATTTGTCATCGCTCTTCCTTTCCACCAGTTCACTCAGCAACTTAATTGGCGTAGAGTTCTTGAAACCTTCTTCTCTCTCTAGCTTATAACAGTCGGAGCAAACCTTCTTCACCCTCTGGAGGAGTTCCTCTGAAATGCCATGGTTCAGGAGCTTTAACAATCAAGTAAATGAAACCTGTAAAAGTTCTATCAAGACAATGTTCAGTGTTTCATAAAAAAATTGGTTACACTAATCAACCTTTATGGTTTTTCATTCCTGTCACTTAGGCCCCCCAAAGTTTCAATTGTCTCAATTGGATCTTCAAAGACTGGGATTGAACCGATGAGGTCCCTAACACTAACTATTGCGGAAGGAAAATAACAGTCGTTGGGCACCTGAAGGTGTTAATTGGCATTTCTCCCGGTGTTCAAGACTCTCTGCATCCAGGCACTCTTATTCCTTTTTGATCACCACACGAAGGCTCAGAGAGAGACTTGTGTTGTGTGAGTGTTTTAATACATATACATTATAATTATACATGTAATGTTACATACTTATTAATAATGTATTTATGGCCTTTTTGGCATGAGCAATGAAAAAAAAGTCCCCCGCAGTTGAGAAAATGAAGAGACTTAAATGACAACTGGCAAACTTTAGGGACTATTGTGTGACTAACCCTAACATAAAAAAGAAGCCATGCAATCTTTGACATTCTTTTGCATGCTAAAAATGATCAGTACCTGAAAGAATCCCCATTCTTCACATCCTTTAGCTATCTGAGCTAGAGTCTTTGCCCTCTCCTCTCCATTGAGCTTCGAGAAATCAATCACCGGGATCGCCATTGAAGTGAAGAGTATGAGAGAGAAGGGGGGGGGGGGGAGAGAGAGAGAGTATTGTTCGCTGCTTAGTAATGCTCCACTGGTGTGGTGGTGAAGAGTTTGCCTAATAACCCTATTTATAGCCAGTTCTTCCAGCCATTTTTGGATGTCAACTCTCCATATATATTTAGTTTAATCAAATGTTTGCTGTTTTAATTCTAAATGCAAAGCAGCCGTTAGGGTGAGGTACAGGACGGTGACATAATTAAAATTAATTACTAGAAAGTCAAAGTTCTTTGAGATATTGCTTACCCACAATAGAAGGCTACTACTTCAGGTGATTCATTTTATTATTTATTGTATAATCCACCTAGGTTATTGCCACGTGTCGGCATAGAAATTATATTCTAACAAGTTCCCTAAATCTGCGACAATATGTCATCCATCATATTTGGTTTGAGTCTTCCCATCAAAATGAACGACCATTTAGTAGGATTTGAGGATCACTAACTAATTCAAAATTTTATAGTTAAAGATTCTCGATAGACCTTGAAATCGATTCGATTGTTAGGGTTTATTTTGTTCGAGTCTTCCCATCACAATTAACGGTAAAACAATCATTTGGCTGGACTTAGTCTCTAGTAATTCAAGAAGTTTTGGTCAAAAAATCTTGAGAGATCTTGGGATCAATTCGATTCTTAGAATTTTATTTTGTTCAAGCCTTCCCATCACGATCAGGGGTAAAACAACCATATGGCGGGACTTGGTGTTTAGTAATTCAAAAAGTTTTCTTCAAAGATTCTCGGGAGATCTTGTGATTGATTTGATGTTCAAAATTTCATTTAATTTGAATCTTCACATGATGCCGAGAGATAAAATGACTATTTGACAAAATTAAGTGTCTAGTAATTCCAGATTTTTGAATTAAAATTTTTTTAGAGTCGTCATGGTTGATTCAATATTCATGATTTGCAATCGAATACATAAATGATAAGAATGAATCCATTTCACCCAGAGACTTTCTTTGTTTGTAAATAAAATCCACAAATACCTCATCATCAATGCCATATTCGTCTCCTTAAGTCTTCTAACCCCCAATTCCCCTTCTTTCTTAGGTCTGCAAATGTCCACCCAGGCCACTTTGGCACTAGTAGGCTTGAGATCAGTTCCTTTCCAGAGGAATGATCTAAGCATTCTTTCTAATTTATCGAGAACCTGTTTGGGAATAAAAATGTGGGCTGACCAGAAATTTTGGGTGCTATTGAGCACAGAGGTAATCAATTGAAGCCTTCCAGCAAAGGATAGAAACCTGTTGGTCCAATTTTTCACCCTAGCCTCCATTTTTTCCATTAGAGCATTACAATATTGTCTCTTGAATCTAGTGGACACCAAGGGGATCCCCAAATATCTCACAGGAAGAGCACCAATTTGGAATCCCAGGATATTAGTAATCTAACCTTTTGCCTCATCAAACATCCCAGCCATGAATACATTGCTTTTCAAGGGATTAGCTCTAAGCCCAGAGAGGACTTGAAACTGGTCAATCACAACTTTCAAAATTTTATAGATTGAGCATCTCCATGACTCAAAAATAAGACATCATCAGCAAAAAGTAGGTGAGTAAGAGTCATCTTCTTACATCTCCAATGAAACCTGAATGAGGGATTAGAGGTAATTTGCTGCAATATGACAGAACTAAAAACTTCCATAGCCAGAACAAAAAGGTACGGGGAAAGGGGATCACCCTGCCTAAGTCCCCTAGAGCTTGAAAAAAATCTTGTCATCTCCCCATTTATATTAACAGAGAATCGAGGAGAAGTAATACATTCCCTTATCCAATTTCTCACCGTATTTGGAAAATGTAAAGCTTCAAGGACATCCAAAAGGAAATGCCAATCCAATGTGCCATAAGCTTTCATAATATCCAATTTAATAGCACATCTGGGAGGACCACAATTTCTTTGATAGTCTCTAAGGAGTTCATGAGTAAGCATAATATTCTCCCTAATTTTCCTTCCTTGAACAAAAGCAGTTTGATTAGAGTTACAATACCTTGGAGCACAGCCCTCACTCTATTTGCCAGAATCTTAGAGATGACCTTATACAACAAGTTACAACATGAGATGGGTCTGAAGTCCTCCATTGAGTTTGGATTTGGACTTTTAGGGGCAGGGGCAATCACAGTGGCGTTGAGCTCTTTAAGTAATTTCTCAGATCTAACAAATTATTTTACTGCAGCTATGAAATCCCTATCAATCACTGACCATGCCTTTTTGAAGAAGTATGCAGTAAATCTATCAGGACTAAGAGCCTTCATATTATTAAAGGAGAACAACACCTCTTTGATTTCCTCATCTTCAATATCTTTGATCATATGATTTGCTTGCTGCTCAGTGACCTTCTTAAGTGGTAGAGATCTTAATAATGCTCTTCTCTCTAGGGGAGGAGTAAGGTTGCTGGTAGTACCTAAAAGTCTCTGAAAATAGTCAATAGCTTCACCCTTAACTGTTTCCTCTCCATCAACCATTCTACCATCAGCAGATTCAAGTTTTAAAATCTTCTTCTTGTTCCTTTTGCAGTTCATAGATTTAAAGGAAAAGGCGGTATTTTTATCTCCCTCACTCAACCATAATATTCTGGATTTCTGTTTATATAGGATTTCCTCGTTCCTTGCAGCCTCTGTGTAATCATTGAGTAAAAGTTTCTCCTCCTGTCTAAGTGCTGAGTCTGAAGGGTTAAGGTCAAGTCTCATTTGACAATTATCTAGCAAAGCTTTCTTTTCTCTGACAACGGTAGTAAGCTCACCAATTTCCCTGCTCTTTTCTTTAAACACTGTTTTTAGTTTCTTAAGTTTAAAGCAAAGTTTGAATTAGTTAGGTCCTTGAATAGGTTCCTGCCATATCTGGGTAACAATGTGCAGAAAATCTTCTCTGTCAGCCCAAAAATTAAAGAACTTAAAAGGGAACTTCTTCCTATTCGCCTCTTCTCGAATCTTCACCACTGCAGGACTATGATCAGATACTCTCGGGGTAAGAATTCAGCTACAGCTCTATCAAATTTCTGGATCCAAGCCTCATTTATAGGGGCTCTATCAAGTTTCCTAGAAACACAAGCACCTTCTTCTCTTCTACTGCTCCAAGTGAAGAAAAGCCCTGAGTACCTCAAATCAACAAGTTCAGCTTCTTGAACACAATCATCAAAATCCCCCATAGCTTGCACCCATCTGTTCAGTCCGCCATGGTTCTCATTGCAGCTTCTTATAGCGTTAAAATCCCCAATAACTAACCAAGGGTAGGATTTAAAGAGACCGACATGGTAAACAAGATTTCTCCACAAGTCCTTCCTCTTATTTTCCTCATTTGAGCCATATACAAAGGAAACACAAAATTTAGTTGCAGTGTCCAAATGTACCACCTCATAGTGCACCACTTGATCAGTTTTCGAGAGCTTAGTTACCATGACAGAGTTAGGATTCCACCCAATCCAAATCCTACCAAAAGTATGACTGTTGTAGTATGCCAAAAACTCCCATATTCTAACAATGTTATTTCTGACAGCTGAAATATTTACACTTCTCACCTTGGTTTCAACAATTCCCACTAAATCAAGGTGGCTTTCAAAAACTAATTTCTTTACTGCTTCCTGCTTAGAGGATTTGTTAAGTCCTCTTATATTCCAGCAGGCTAACTTAATCATAGGAGAGGAGAAAGCCTGAGTTTGAAGGGCTCAGTCCCTTTATCTTTCCTTTTTCCAGAGGACTTTTTCTTAGCTTTTTTCTTCTTATTCTCCCCAGGTTGCTTACTTGCCTCCCCATGGTTATGATCACAACTAGTTGCAGCATAGTCTAAATCCACCACCAAATTACCTCCCTCAATTTCCAACCTCTCAAATCTGTTTGAAGATGTAGTAGGTATAGACAGCTGAACTGGGACCTGCACTTCCACAGGTGAGATGGATGTCACCTGAGTTTCATCCTGTAGTCTATGAATGGGCTGTCTGAGTATAGCAGCACCAATTTCACTGTTGCTGCTACATCCAGGATCTAATGGGGGTTTCTCTTTTGACATGACCATCTTCGTTGTTGGTTCCATCTCATTGGATATGATTTCCTTGCCATTGCCAGCAACAAGAGGATGAGATTCCTTTTGGGAATGTTTGGGTTTCCAAATGGTTTTTGTCACCATCTTAGGACACGTGGACTCATTATCGCCGACTATATGGCAACTTTGGCACACTTTGGGCTTCCACTGATATTCAACTTGTATTTCCACCTTCTCATATTTCCCCTCAACATTCACCCTGAGATCAAAAGAGTCAATAAGCCTGGTTCTGGCTTGAATTTCCACACACACTCTGGCAAAACTCAGTCTTTTCCTAGATGCAGTTAGTGTGTCTGCATACAGTGGCTTGCCTATAGCACTAGAAATATAGCTTAGCCCCTCTTCATTCCAGAATTGGAGTGGAACATTGAATAGCTTAATCCACACCGGGATAACAGAGTGATCTTCTTTGGTAAGGATTATTTCTGGCTGCCATCTCTTGAGGATTAGAGGCCTCCCTGCAAACAACCAAGGTCCCCCTTCAAAAATAGCAGTCCTTTATCTCTTCACTCATGAACTTGCCCCATACTTTATGGGCAAGGAAATTTATAGAGGAGTATGAGAGTTTCTTTTCAATAAAATACCCAACTAGGCAATTTTGCCACTCAAGGCTTCCTCTCATACCTACCTCTTTCAGAGGTGATACCACAAGCCTCTCATTCTCTTTTAGTGGTTCATAGTATTTGAGTTTCATACCTGCAATTTGGGTTCCGTTGAAGGTCTTTGAAGCTTCTCCATCCAAACCAGATTTAAGAACCTGACTCCAAGATGGTATTGGGGAGTTGGGCTTCTGCGCCTGGCAGTCAATACCTTGTTGCAGTGAGGTATGTTCTGGCTGTGTCTCAGCCCTTGAGATTAATTCACTATGCTGACTTTTTGACAGCCCTGATGCATTTGGGGTAACAACTTGTTGGGGAACAAAGACTTGAGTTGTATCTACATAGCCGTGAGCTTTACTCGCCACACTATCTGGCTTACTGGAAGATTCATTTGGGACCACTTCTGCAGCAATGGCTTGGCTTCGTACCACTTCATGCTCAGTCATGAGCTGTGTATTCATTGCTTTCTCATACGCAACAGTGCTGAGCTCATGAGAACTCATAGGAGATCTGGATTATGGATTAGATTAAGTATATATGGCTGGTGGATTAAAGATTTTACAATGGATTCAGAGGTGGGTGCGAAGGATTTAATGTAGGAAGGTTTAAGGAGGAGAGAGAGAGATTGGTATGGAAGAGGGTTTTAGAAACAAGTGGTCAGGAAACGAATTGATGAAACATGAGGTTAATAGATGGGCCAAGAACTGTAGATCAGTCAAATAATGGATGAATTAAGCAAAAATAGGGACGAACAAGAGAATGGTGGGTTCAAGGAGGAAGAGAAAGCAGAACAGAACATTACAAAATTTTAACCATTTTTTCCCTATCTTTTTCCCTTCTTTTTTCCTCGCTTCTTGCTCAGTCTGCTGTCGCTGCTCAATGGCTATTTATAGGCAATTTTGTTCCTTACGTCACTTGGGGATAGCATGGTGCTTACGTCAACATAGACAAATGTCCATACTGTGTCTAATGTGTATCTTTTTTTTTTTTCCCCCTTACATCCCAAGGTCGCGTGCGCACACACACATATACATTAAATATGACACACATTTCTACACAATCTGCATAATTCAAACACTTTAAATATTTATATTTTTCTTTCGACCTTAAGTATACTTAATATTATAATCATTAAACTTGCCTTCCACTTTAAAAAGTTATATTTGAGGTTCATTTATTTATTTAAAATTTTTAAAAATAAACATTGAGAATATAGGATCATAATTAGTGCTATAATTGATGTATTAGTGATAAATTTGTATGCCAGTTATCACATAGATGATAGTAATATCAAAATTAAATAAACTTTAAAACAACTTTTAATTACACAATATTACATTCAAAGTCAGAAGCAAAACCATAATCAAAAGCAAGCACACTAACAACAACACAAGCTTTCTTCCCTATTCTGCAAATGCAGCTGGAGATTGCCAAAGCAATTATAACAATTGCAATGGCAAAGCTTCATCTATAACCCCAAACCCCAACAAAAGGAAAAAAAAAAACCTATGAACTTCTTCATAAGAAATTCCATTGTTATGTTCTTTACATGGCCCCCACAGCAGCTTTGAACCTTGGTTCTTTTGCTAGGAACTTCTGCTCTGCATAAACAGACATGTAGTCCCCAAACACAAACTTGGGATAAGTCTGATCCACCTCTTGGTTCACTTTCTCCATCAATTCTGGTGCAGGAGCTATGGTGGCCTTCATTGATGGATTATAGAACGAAGCAATCGATCTCCTATTACCATCTAGCGTGGCCAAAACCCTGTGCCAAATGCTCTTGTATCGCCCGTTGCTCAACACCTCAATCTGATCCCCGATGTTGATGACAATGGCGTTGCTTAGCGGTTGGACATCGATCCATTGCCCATCTTTGAGGATTTGAAGGCCACTCACCTCGTCATCTTGGAAGAGTAAGATGACACCTCCGGCATCAGTGTGAGCTCGAAGACCATTTAGCCTCTCGGGATGTGGGCAGGGCGGGTAGTGGCTCACCTTAGTGCCAAAAAAGGCATCAGCTTCTTCACCATTGAAAGCTTTCTTGATGTATCCTATTGGCAAGCCCAAGTTTTCATCCATGGCTTCCATGACTTTCTCACCCAGCTTCTTCAACTCAGCTCGGTATTCTGCCATAGTTTCCCTATTATTCAATCAATTTACGAGTCAGATGATACATTAATCTAGGTTTTAATGCTATATTTTTCTTGAGCATTGTCTCAAGTTATAAAGTAGTTGAAGGTAGTGGCTGTTGCTTAACATATATCTTACATTTCTACAAGTTGTTCAGATAATACAATTGAGCACAAATTGACCTCAAATGGTTGGATTCGAACATTTTTAATGTTGAAATTGTTGATTATCTAGTAAAATTAAGTCAAACTTTAGTTGTTCTTGATCAATTTTTTGAGGGAATTAACCTAAAATTTTTATTATTAGATAATTTGTTTTGAAACATTTTACGTGTATTTTGAGAAGGTTTGAATTAATTTTGTCGATTTTAGTGAAAGCAAATAAAATATAATACATTGTGTAAAATTTGATCTTAGTAGTTCTACATGATTAAAGCTTTAACATTAACATATTAAATACTCCCATTAGAAATTTTAACTATGCCACAATTTGGCTAAGAGAAAAAATCATATACGTTTGTTCCTTTAGAAACCTTGCAAGGACAAAAATCTCATGAACTAAGTTGCCTTTTAGAATCATACGAATGGAATACTATGTTCGCAAAATAATGGAAAGAGAATTTGTTTGAGAAACATGACCTGCCATGGGGCTTGGTGACATAATATGCTTTTCTTTAACAATATTAGAGGGATTTTTGCAAAGTACTATCAATGACATAAAAAGGTTTCTAATACTTGAATCCTGAAGACTTTTTCTTTATTTTCTCTGCACCAAGCAAGAGTCTGGAAAAAACAAAACTACAATAGAAATCTTTGACAAGCATAATCAAGAATCATTTTTATTTCGACACAAGTAAAGGCATTGTTCACAGCCCTTTCTTGTGTCGAAGATTAGGAAGATGAATAATTGTTTCTAGAAGTATTTGTTTCCCGCATTTATACATTCTGTTTCCCGCTCATTTATATTGACTAGTCTACGAGGATTCAATAGAAACTGGGATAGCATTAACTTTAATGGTGAAGTTTTCTTTTCTGCACTGATGGAAGTGATTAAAACTAGTACTGAACATACATACTTGAATTCTGGGGTCTTTGATGGCCACTCGTTATCACCGGAGAGAAGGAACACGTCTTCCCAGTCCAAATTCTCCAATTTGTCTTCGCTCTTCTTTTCCACCAGTTCATTCAGCAACTTCACTTGCGTCGAGTTCTTGAAACCTTCTTCTCTCTCCAGCTTATAGCAGTCGGAGCAAACCTTCTTCACCCTCTGGAGGAGTTCCTCTGAAATCCCATGGTTCACTAGCTGTAACAATCAAGTAAAGGAAACCTGTAAAAGTTCTATCAAGACGATTTTCAGTGTTTCATAAAAAAATTGGTTACACTAATGACCCTATAAGGTTTTCATTCCTGTCACTTAGGTCCCCCAAAGTTTCAATTGTCTCAATTGGATCTTCAAAGTTCAGGGATTGAACCGAGGAGATCCCTAACACTAAGCTATTGCGGATGGAAAATAACAGGTGTCGGGCACCTGAAGTTGTTAATTGGCATTTCTCCTGGTGTTCAAAACTCTTTGCATACAGGGACTCTCACACCTTTTTGCTCACCACACGATGGTGCAGAGAGAGACTTATGTATAAAAAAAAGAAGAGAGAGACTTGTATTGTATGAGTGTTTTAATACATATACATGATAATTATACATGTAATGTTACATACTTATTAATAATGTATTTATGGCATCTGTGGCATGAGCAAAGAAAAAATGTCCCCCCGCAGTTGAGAAAATGAAGAGACCTAAATGAAATTACTGGCAAACCTTAGGGATTATTTGTGTGATTAACCCTAACATAAAAAGAAGCCATGCAATCTTTGACATTCTTTTGCATGCTAAAAAAGATCAGTACCTGAAAGAATCCCCATTCTTCACACCCATTAGCTATCTGAGCTAGAGTCTTTACCCTCTCCTCTCCATTGAGCTTCGAGAAATCAATCACTGGGATCGCCATTGACGCAAAGAAATATGAGAGAGAGAGAGAGAGAGAGTATTGTTCTCTGCTTAGTAATGCTGCACTGTTGGTTGTGAAGAGGTTGCCTAATAACTCTATTTATAGCCGTTTCTTTCAGCCATTTTTGGATGTCAACTCTCCATATATAGTTTAATCAAATGTTTGCTGTTTTAATTCTAAATGCAAAGCAGCAGTTAGGGCGAGGTACAGGACGGTGACATAATTAAAATTAATTAATAGAAAGTCAAAGTTCTTTAAGATATTGCTTACCCACAACAGAAGGCTACTACTTCAGGTGTTAGCACAGAAATTATATTCTGATAGGTTCCGTGAATCGACAATATGTTATCCATCATATTTAGTTCGAGTCTTCGGATCACAATGAGAGAGGTAAAACGATCATTTAGCAAGACTCAAGGATCAGGAACTAATTCAAAAAAATTTAGTTAAAGATTCTTGAGTGACATTGAAATCGATTCTAATATTAGGGTTTTATTTTGCTCGAGTCATCTCATCACAATCAATGGTAAAATAACATTTGACTAGACTTGGTGTACAGTAATTCAAGCAGGATTGGTAAAAAATTCTCGAGAGATTTTGAGATCGATTTGATTCTCAGGATGTTAATTTGTTTGAGTTACCCATCACAATCAAGGGTAAAACAATCATTTGGCAGGACTTAGTTCCCAGTAATTCAAAAAGTTTTGGTCAACAATTCTCGAGAGAACTTATAATTGATTTTATGTTCATAGTTTTATTTGATTTGAGTCTTCACAACGTGATGAGAGATAAAATGACTATTTGGCAAAAAAAACTTGAGAGCCGTCGTGGTTGATTCAATACTCATGGTTTGCAACCGAATACATAAATATTTGTTTTATGTTACAATAGTTAAAAAATTACATAGTTGAGACGTTTTTAAATAAAAAACAAAAACAAGAAACTAGACAATACTATATGCTTCTCCAATCACACCAATAAAAAAATTCAATACAATGAACGCCAAAAATAACTAATCGATAATCATCTCAACCATTCATTGTTTTTAGATTATTGGTGACAATTCAAACTCTTGAAACATATAACGCCCGCGAATTGTGTGCAAAATCATATTCAAAAAGTTGGTCAAGGCAAATTTATAGGGAGTGAATCTATATACGATAAGGAAATTCATAATTTCTAAACTCTAACTCTATTTATCTTCAAAATTCATCAATATACGTCTAGTGATTAAATGAACATTCAAACTTGTGATCTAGAAGTAAAACCTAAAACCTTTGTTCTGCTGCTGGCCAAGTCCAGTTTCTAAACAAAACCGCGTCTTGGTCGTGCACCCATTTTCTAGCAAATAAAACCTCGTAATTTACTAATGTATGTTTCTTATCTTGTCATTCAAACCTCTCCCAACTACAACCGTTAATCATGTTGACCTCCGCCAATTATTTCTGTAGCCCCACCTTTGAATTTTTCACACACATGACATGCAAGGTATCAGATGGATTAAAGTAATACACTGATTTGTAGCCATAGTTTGTGGGTTAAGGAAACGAAGACTTTTATAAAATAAAAATAATATATTATCAAACTCTAAATTAATACATGGTCAACTCTTGTTGTATTAATGTACTATATGAACAACGTTCAAAATAAAAATTGTATTAGTCAAAAATTAATTAAAAATTAAATGATTTAACTTATTATAAAAATGAGCAATGTGATAAAAATGAGTAGAAAAAATACATAAGGATAAGATTCAAACTCTTTACTCCCTTATTATATAGATTGTGGGAGGGGGGAATTTGACCTTAATTGGCGTGAAAAAATATGAATTGCGTGGTATTTTCAAGTTGAGGGGAGAAATTTTTTTGTGATGATTTTGAGCCATTAAATTGAATGAATTTCAATCACTCTTGTGCTAAGCTAAGTTAGGAGATTTAAAATGGGTCATTTTGTTATATGGATTGGATTAATTACACTTTTTGTCTCTCATTATGAACTGATTCGCACTTTGGCCCTTATCTCTTTTGTTTTTATTTTTTTTAGTTTCATACTTGTAGATTTCACTAGATTCAATGGTAAAAAAATTGGAATAAAATACATCTTGTAGTGTTGAAAAAATAACAGTATGCGTCACATGCTGAGGAACATCTGTATGAAAAAAAAAAAAAAAAAAACTATGATATCTTCAATTATAACTCCACAAGGATGTAAAAATTATCTCCTCGATCACCATGAAACCATCCCCATAATATTGAGGCAAATTTATGCATTGGAATCTTGGGTCACAACTCCAACATATATGTCTTTTTTGACTGTTTTCATTGATTAGGTTGAGTGAATACTATATATGTTCAAAGTTGAAACTAAGCAAAAAAAAAAAAAACAAAATTTAAAACCTCAAGTGGGAATAAGTGCATACTTTGAGGGTGAAAAGTGTAATTAATCCTTATATATATAAGAGATAAATGTTGTAGATATATAATATTGCTAGGGTAGGATCTATAAGACAACCTTGCCTTGTTGTATGTACACTTGGCATATCGTCGTCCTTCGACATGATTCTGGTTGTTGGAGTATTAAGATACAATTTCTCTTGCACCAAAAAAAAATGCTACAATTTCAGATGTAACAGGAAAAAATTCAAAATCTTACTAGAGGTTTGAATGTCGAAAAAAGAAGAATTTTGTTTATTAGTCTTAAAAAATTAAAAAGAGTAACAAATGATTAGTCCAAACCAAAGGTTACATCTGATCGAAGCTAGTAGTAAGGGCTATATTGACTGTCTGATAAAAGACAACAGGTGCAGAAATGGAATTTCAGTCATTTCTTATACTTGTAAGTGTAGTACCTAACAATTATTAGTCCCCAGGTGCATTATTATTATTTTTTTTTGGGGATCACGATAAAGGATGTTCGGACTAATTTATGCACACTTCGACTAATCCCTATCGAGAACACTCAAGTAGCAAGATGAGCATGGCTACAAATCATATCAATTTATTTATTCAACCTTGTGTAGTTCATTTGTTTGAGCCAAATGCTATCTTTGGTTTTTCATAAGCAATACATATGGTTAGTTTATCTGTTTAAGACTAAAAAAAAAAAATTGTACTCAGTTTACTGCAGTGCAAAGCAAAGGTCTAGGAAAGATAGACATGCAACTCGGGTAGATATAACATATGGAGAAGTTAATCCGAACTTGATCAATGGGGTTATAAAACCATCAAACAAAATTTTCAACTCAAGTACTACCCTGCTAGACATGACTGGCATGAGTCCTATCGTTAAAGAAGACCGATATCTTGTTCCCAAGCTTGAATAGCCCGAAGAGACATGCTTGGCATGACTATTATTTTTTAGTAGAATAACTCTGGAAAAACACATGGCGAGCTGAGTTGTTCACTAGTGAGCGCTCGAAGGATAATTTGAGCTTGGTCTTTTTGATATTAAAAGATTATTCCATTGTAACTTGGATGTCATGAATTCGAATCACAAAAATCCTCCCCACATGAGATAAGATGACATATAGCTTAGGTTCCGCAAATTCTGTAGTTAAGGGAGAGAGAGAGAGAGAGAGAACAATGGTAGTGTGATCACAAATTCATCATACTCTTTTGCTTCAGCTTGTGATCGCAAATTCATCACTGATTCATCATACACTTTCGCTTCAGCTTGTAACTACTATTGACAATAATTTAGTGCAAGTCTGTTGCAATCCCATTTTAGAAAAGCTTGTGCATAAAACTGAGCATTTTAAGTGTTTGATGGAAAATTTCTTTATACTTTTCCTCCAGTTGTCTTTTTTGATGGATACCTTATCGTGCATTAATGAAAGACTCACTCATTTACAATTAATCTCACTTAAATTTATGGTATAGTTGATCTACCAATAAAGAATATGAAAATATATATATATGACGGAATCTCAGTCCGTCTATATTGCTTAAAGTGAGTAAAAGAAGTAACTCTGTACCATTAAACAAAAATCACTTGCATGTCATGCCAGAAAGTAAAGATGAATTGCATATCAAAAGAGATACAAAAGCATGGGCATCCCCATGGTAATACAAAGTATGAAAAAAAAACAAATTTGTGGAAGGTGTGAGCAAATAGCTAAACTTCAAACAGATTTGTCAAAAAAAGTTTCCATACAAAAGGAAGCAAAAAACACTATGATGAAACTGTGAAGTTACACAGTACAGCTGTTTGGGAGTTACAGAATGTCATTGTCTGCCCTAATCAATACAATTTTTCCTTATACTACTTCTAGTGAACCATATGGCAGCAATTCACCCAAACGAGAAAACAGATTGCCCATGATTGTACTATACAAAGCCAGAGATTATAAGTTCGATTTTTTTTTAATAAGCGACTTTCACGTATTTATATTGATTAAGAGTAACTCATGCCTAAAGACATAATACAATGTAAACTGAGAGAGATGTTGGTAGTTTTTGGATGAGTCTATTTGAGATTGTCAGATGGACTTATTAAAACCTATTCTATTTTATAATATAGATAATTGTCCATTTCATGAGAGACGAGATAACTAAATATGTACAGAAATTAATGAAGTGTCCTAAAAGGCGCAAATAACTAGAGGACACTCTCTGAATTGTTCAAAGATGAAGATAAGCCATCGAAGAATTGAACTCCATTAATAATGTAAAGTTTGTTGAACAGAACATGGGTTGTGTGGTCAAATGCCAACTCAACTTCTTATTGAGAATTCAATAGCGGAATGCTGTAAAGACCGCTCATTGAATGTGATTTTTTTTTATTTTTTTTGTTTGAATAAATATTGGTGGGTTCATTTTTAAAATAATGAATAGTAATAGTTTGACATGGTATAATGGTTAAATTTCCCTACGAGTTTGAATTCTTTTGTATTGGTGTATTATGTTGCACCCAGTTTTAATTTTTTTACACATCGATATACATAGTTATATGTCTACTCTACGCGTGAGTGAGTTGCACCAACTTGCTGATGTTGGAAGGTA